GGCGCCCGATTTAGGGTAAGTTTTAAGCACACTAAATAATATAGTAGTATTTCAGGGACTATTATTGCTATGGTTGAAAAGAGAAAAATGATACTTCTATTATTTGGTGGAAAGTACAGTAAAAATGTGAGTATAATTTTACTGCTCTAGTAACTGCAAAAACAGTAATATAATTAAAACTCGATAGAGCATTACTGAGAACAAATTGCATCGAAATAATTAAGACATCCAAAAAAGTAATTCCATAAGCAGTTAGAGATTGCAGAAAGACGGTTGCCAATAATGTCAGTTTATGAACCAGTAAGGAAAGAAAAAATGTCATCACTAAGAAAGCTGTGATGACAATTCAAGTGTACTCCTTAGTAGAAAGCCCATGACGGTGATGCTGTGGAGGGGGGCGGGGGGAACAGTGACCTAAACGCTGCTTTGAGCTGAATACAGTGTTTCCTTCAATTTAAAAAGTGTCAGGGCAGAGCAGATGTACTTCCACAGACGTAAGTTGACATTGACAAATTGGAGCGGTTAAAACCTGTGTAAAAGAGTTCTGATAGATTTTTCACAAAGTGCTTCATATTCTGACTTCACTTTGGGAAGAACAAAAAGCAGCTAAAGACAGACTCTTAAATAATTCTTATAATGTTGGTTTTCTTTTAATCCCCTTTGTCAAATGCTCCATGTCTACACTCACTACTGGATTGCCAAAAGGTCACAAAAAAGACATCTCTTCCATGCAATAGTCCTCAGTTGTTTTGAACACAGCTATCTATCCCAGCTAAGCCTTCTCTTCTCCGGGTGACATGCCCCCTTTATCTCGTCCTCTTGTGTCAAGACTTCAGGCTGTCCACTACCTTGACGACTCACCTCTAAAGTCGGGCCAGTTTGTTACTTTCTCTTTGACAACAAAGCACCCAGAAACAAACTTAAACTTCCAAATGTGGGCTGACAAGTGCAGAATACAGAATGGCTATTATCATCTATTTTACAGAAAATCCTTCTGGGATATGGCCTGAGAAAGCTCTGGATTGTTTGGCCTATAAGCACACTCCTAACTTCTGGTAAGCTCCCTTTGGACAACGTTTAGATCTTCATATCAAATGATGTTAAGTCATTCCAATTTTTGACACTTTAGTTCCTATTAAAATGAAATCAAAGGGGAATGCCTGAGTGGCTCAGTCGGTTAAGCATCTGCCTTCGGCTCAGGTCCTGATCCCAGGGTCCTGGGATCGAGCCCCACATCGGGCTCCTGGCTCAGCGGGGAGTCTGCTTCTCCCTCTCCCCCTGCCCCTGCTCATGTTCTCTCTCTCATTCTCGCTCTCTCTCAAATAAATAAAACCCTTTAAAAGACAAATTGAAATAAAAGATTATCCCATGAAATACATGCAATCGATCAACTGTTCTTGCCAGTTATGTGTCACCAGCATATGTGATAACAGAAGCAAACATAGCAATACCCCAAATCAGTGAGTATTACAAGGTCCTATCCATTTAAGTACTTTATTTACAATGTCTTATCTATCACACCAATATTCTGTATTATTATAGTAGTTATGAAGCATTATTACCTCTATTTTACAAATGAGGAAGCTGAGGCTGACAAGTTTGTAAAGTCAGAAACAAAGGCTAGATCTGTATGACTTCTATAGTCTTAATCATCTCGTACCTTCCCTGCAATGATGCCATTCTTACCCAGTTACTTGTCAAGTTGTTGACTGGGACTGGGCGCATCAGTGATCTTCCAAGCTGACTCAGTCATCAATAATATAGTTTTTGCTCTAAGGCTGTTTCAGACATTCCCCTAATCACCCAGCCCACATTTCTATAATGTTTATTTTTATTTTTAATTTTTTTTCTGATCCTTATTCTTTAATGCAAGCCCATAG